TATTATACGGAAATCAATTCTGTCAACATGCACACATGTATGTTTGTACGTACGTACGTATGCATTGTATGCATGTATGCATGCTTGCACGTAAACGACCGCCGCACGACACGACAGAATTTGCAGTTGAAGCTGTCAACAGTTCTGACGGACCCCGACCTGTTGTTTCCATTCATGCAATTCATGAAGGCAGAAGCCTCAGTCAATGTCCTCCAGTTCTACCTCATCATCGGTCAGTGCTTGTCTATTTATTGCTTCATTCATACTGCAGTATGTTGATGGCGGGATGCTATATCAGTTGGTTGTGGAGAAAGGATCAAGGATGTAATGGCGATGGTGTTGATGATGGTGGTGGTGGTGATGGTGATGATCATTGCAGTGGTGATGTGTATTAAAACTTCGATGATGGTGCTGGTGATGATAATGATTTTCATCGTGGTAATAACTTTAAGCTGGTCATCGGTCGGTTGGCTGGCTATTGTAGAAAAACTCTTTTTGAAGCTCAGCTGCATTACAAATTTCATGTTCCAAATTAGTTATTATTTAAATTAAAAATCAGCCGGTTGATCAACAAAAATTCATCAACGATTTATCTGTTCCTTTATTTAATTCTTCAGTTTTATTCGTTTTCTCGATATTGTCATCATTATTTTCATTGTAGACACCCAATGTTGATACAGTTTATTTTTTTCTTGTCAGAGGAGTTCAACCAGAAAGTGCTGACACCTGAGCTGACAGAAGAGAAGCTGAATGAGCTTCACGTGGAGTTGTGCAAGCTGTACGACAACTACTTCAATCCAACCGCCCACGACTGCATCAGATTCGATGAGGATGTCGTCTTGCAGATTAAAAACAGTCTGTTTCCCTGCATTCATCATTCATCAATCGTTCCAACTTAATAATTTGTTACTTTCTTATGCTTCATCTATCTGTTTTAACTTCATCCACCCTTTTGTTTGTTATTCATTTTTAATTTTTGTTTTCATTCAATCATTCGTTCACTCTCATTCTCTCATTTACATTCATTAATTCTTTTTTGCCTTCATTCCTTCATCCGCCCATCATCATTTTCAATCAGTATGTGAGGGACCTGCTGAATCCGTCAAACAGCTGCAAACAACAACACCGCTCTTTAGGTTGGCGCCACCACAGTACCCCCTCCCTCTCTATCCTGACAGTTCATCACCTCATCACTTCACTATCTCTCTATCATGACAGTTCATGTGTTTGTGCGTGTGTTTTTGTGCGTGTATCTTCTTTGTGTGTATCTTCTTCACTCTCATCTCCAACACAACACAGGGCATATGAACACGCATACGATCTCCTCGAGCACAACTTCCTTCCACTCTTCCACCAGAGCGACATCGTTCGTAACAATCATTTCTCACCTTTCATTTATCACCTTTCATTTCTTGCACTGTTTCAACTGCAAGCGGATGCATTGCATTTGCACTGTTAAGTTATTTAATTTGTAAGGCTCTTGAGGGTTGTTTTGGTCAAATGCTTGTTGATTTTTAACTTTAAAGATGTTATTTGTTTACAAATTGTTCTTATTTATTTGTTATTTTTGCGGTACAACTTGTCGTTTGAACCAGCATAAAGATGTTAAAATATTTTCTGCGTGGTATAAATATTGCTTTTAAAGTTATTTTAATTTTTGTCATCATCATAATCTAGCACAATTATAACGTGTTTTTGAAATTTTTAGTTATTGCCCTGGTTCTGTACCTGCTCGTTTCAAATAAACATTTAACATTAGTTAATGTTGATATATATTTCTGAATGGAATGATATAATGAATAATAATGATACTTGATTGATATCCAATGATACTTGATTGATATCCAATGATACTTGATTGATATCCAATGATATTTGATTGATATCCAATGATACTTGATTGATATCCAATGATACTTGATTGATATCCACCAATCACCGTGAAGTACTACACGATGTTGTTGGAGAGAGGCTGCCG